ACAGTGACTTTGCGCGATAACATTGAAGCGAAGGAAGAATAACGCGATTGTATTGCCTGATATAAATATCGATTTTCTTTTCATATCAATCCCACTTGTGCGTATTTACACCCTAAGAGATAATATCGGCGCGCAATTTTAGCATAACCATATTTATTTAAATATGAAAATGTGGGGTATTTTCGGAGTGTCATCAGAAATATTTTACTCGATGGTGCTTTTTGACATTCATTGGCTGTTGCATATTCTATCGATGGAAAGTACTTCCTGCAACGAAAGGGCATAATATATAACGCTCCATTGATATATTTTGGAAAATCTATGCACGCGATTCGCTTATTCGCACTCACGGTTTTCCATATTTTAGTTAACGAGAATCCACATGGCGTAATATGCCATCATCGAAAATGGTTACAGCACTTGTCCGTGTAACGTAAAACCTTGCCTAGCAACATAGTAAAGGGATTACATTAAGTAATTGAATATTGTCACGGCAATAACGTATTCGTGCTGTACGCGCCCAGCATTCTCTCGACATTCTCCAAATTCCCCGTAATATCCTTCGATAAAGCGCTCTCTACGATTACATTGCGTCAATCATCGAACAATCGATTATCGAGTATGATAACGCTATATATCCATCTCTATCTTTCTCGGAAACGACAATTTCACATAGTCCGATTATCGTTTAAATAAATTACCGCGAATTTATGATTTGTCGAAGATACGATCAGTGTTTATTAGCGGCTTATTCGAAGCTAATAATGGCAAATGTACAAATCAATAGCGAATCATATGGTCAAGTCGAATCTGATTTAATTTTGAAATGAATTTTCAGATAAGTAAACAATGCACGCTGAATGTTTAATAAAATATAATCATTTATCAATTTTATAAATACTGAATAAATATCCAATTAAAAATAATGAATAAATATCCAAATAATTTTTCATAATTTTATCATAAATTCGAAAAATTTTTATATATCGTTCCATTTACTTTACGATGATGACGTGAGATAAACTATAACTATAAATTAAAACTATACATATGTCGTCATTCGAAATATTTATCGATCAGACAAATGACAGGCGCTTCACGTAAAAGGAGGTGCGTGTGTCATCCCGCCTGGATTTTTGCCTCGTGGAGTTAGGCCTCGTTCTCAGCCCGTTGAAGTTTACGACGCTTGGCCGCATGAATCTTATCTACGTGCCGCAGGCACTACCTTCTCCATCTTCTCGCGCCCCTTCGCCATTCCTTCCGTAAGGTCCTGGCCGTCCCGCCCGATCGATCTCCTTTTAGCCCGCTGCCACGTCTATCAGGTTTCCCGTTTCATTTCATCAAGTTGATCCGGACTTTCGACGCCTTCGCTTTCGCCCTCGCACCCGCACACGATCTCTCGTGTGAGTCGAGATAGAAGGATTCCCTCTCTCTTTTTCTTTTTGGCTCTCTATCTCCCTCTTCTTTTCTCCGCACTCTTCTCTCTCGGCGATAAACGCCGTTCTAACTCTCTCCTTTCATTCTACCTCTCTCCCTTTTTCCTTTTCTCATATCCTTTTGCTCTTTTCGTAAGCCAGCATTGACACGACCAAGTAACTTCTTATGCCATCCTTTACCCCTTCGTCCTCTCCTCCGTCATACGGGGTTTCCTGCTTGCTTTCTTCCGTTCACCTACCGCCTGCCATCTCCCGAGTGGAACGTTCTACTTAACAATAGAACGCCGAATGGAGAGAGAGCCGGCATCAACCCTCAATCAACAATACCTCTCCGCGATTCTCTCGGGGGCCCCGGATATATATACGTTATGTCTCCCCGCGGAGATCTTATGTGCGCGCCATAGAAAAGACGGTATCATCGTTGATTCCACCAACAGCTACGTTTAGACTCCCTGCGGCGTGGCAGCGAATTGGATCTGCCGACTGGGAAGAGGAGGAAAGGGAAAGAGCAAAAGTCATCGACGAGGAACGATGCAGAGGAAAAGAAAAGAAGCTTTGAACAATCATATGCGATACTCATCCCGTTACCCATCCCTCTCGAATGTACGACCGCAATTTGAGATCCTGCCATCAGAGAAATGGGATTCATCCGATTTATTCCTACCTATTGTACAAACGAGAGGGCAGGGACTCTTTAGCTTACTTTAAATTACATTAGAGCGTCTCAGTGATCGATATATAAAACTAACATATATATTTCATGCATTTATATATTCTTATATATTCTCGTGTTTAAGTCTATAATTAATGTGTATTATCGATTTTGTTTTATTAACAAAATCTTGATATCGAATTTCTAATATTGATTAAAAACGATTATATTTTTCTATCATAACATATAGTTTTCTTTCTCTATTAAACCTAGTAAATAAAAAATAAATTTGTTGATAAGCCGCGTTACACTTTTGCAATTTCTCAAGTTTGTTTTACGAAATGACTCATCGAGAGTTGGAAAATTCACAGAGCTCGGTCCTTTATTAATCGCAGGCTTTGCGTTATGGTCTCGCGGGCCCAAACGATAAAGCGTCCCTGAAGACCAGGTTTCTATGGTCCGGATGACTTCAATAAGATTGCACGACGTTCTTGTCGCGGTACAATTACTTGGACCACGGAAGGTTGCTGTGGCCGCCCTTTCATTTATCAGACTGATCTCGTATCCTGCCTTCCACGGGGGATTTCCTATTTATTCATCGTGGCAATTCGTGCATGGCTGCATTACGTTCGCCGTAATTTTGAATTGTATCTTGAAACTTCCTTAAATCTTTATATATTTTTGTTTTACGAATTATCAAGACTATTTGATTAAATATATGCTGAATAAATATTAAATAAATTTCATCGATCTATGCAAACACATACACATACAAATCTCGATATTATAAATTCTGAAACTATAATCATCGCATGTATCACTGTTCGCAACGTGCAATGCCTGTACATATTAATGTATAATTTTTGAGAAATATATTAATGAATATATATTAATGAATAATTTTTGCAGATTTTTACTTATATTTGGGAAACGAATTTTACCAGACCAAAAAATTTGAACGAACTTTATGTATTTTTTAAATAAATTCTTTTAATTTTCAATGCAAACTGTGCTTTAGTAGCGTGGTAAATTTAAAATTGTAATTCCATAAAAATTAAATCCACTTTTAAATGAAATTTGTAAAAACAATTCATTTACGTAATTATATAATTGTTTGAAGAAGGGATGTCGACTGTATATTTCTGGCAAAATGTTGATCAGATCTCGTGTTTCTAATTATCATTTACATAGTAATGATTGACGTTCCTTTTAAATGTCCCAGGACTCTTGGTATTCACACTGAATGTAGTTAAGACGAATTTCATTTGCGCTTTGTGTCGAAGCTGAGAGTAATTTGGATCTAAAAGAGATAATCGTTGCTTCGACGTTGGAAACGAAATTATACGACCATTTCTCGAGACAGATCAACGGAATAACGTTAGCTTTATGTAGATGTGTCTGGACGATTTATATTCAGACGGCGGGACCATGATGAGACCATCTCTTTTATTAGCGCAGTCGGACGGGTACCTACGGGAAATCCTCTGTTTTTCTTTCCGACGGCCGTAATATTACAAACTTGGGCTCCCCTGAGTAAACAGTTGACTGTTCTTTGCGCGCGCTGTCTGACGTTGAAACATTAAATCCCATGAAACGGGTGTCATCTACGCATAATTTCAGGAATTTTCGCATTGTCAGCCATGTCATTCGCTGACGAAATTGGAATTCCGCGCATTTACATATGCATACAATACACAAGCTGCTGCGATAATATTCCAAGCGCTCTGATTCAAACACACGCGTTTCACGTTACAAAAATTATTTCAATATATATTTTTTAAATATAATGAAAAATATTCCAATATGTCTTAAATCTGTTACAATTAAATTTGTTATAATTTCGAGCACGGATAAATGTTAATATTTATGAGGAGAATAAGGTATTTCAGCAGTACGTTTCATGTTCCATCATGAGTAGGATTTGCTTAAATACATTACGCGTTAGACCAGCTTATACGCGAGTACGTTTGTGCGCGCTATTGCGGAAACTCTCCATTCGTAAACCGACATGATTTGCAAGATGTTTTAAAGATCGATTGCAAATGCATCTTCCACGAGGATTCGCATTTCTCTTTTTGACGTGGCTCGCTTTGGCAAAGATCTGGCGTGCGTTTTTCAACGTCACGCTCGAGCACATTGGATCTGTCGATAAAGAACGCAGTAGCGGCTTTTACAACGTTTCCCAGGATGAAGAAACGATGCCCATTGAAACATCATAAAGGGATACAAAAAGCGATGTGAATATCTAAGTCATAAGACGTCAAAAACAAAGGAATTTGACAGTTAAGCAGCGAAGAAAACTCATTAATTTTATACAGCTCTTATCATTTTTATCGATATTTGTTCCATTTAAAAACTTTGAATTTATGACATTGATGAGAAAACGTGAAAATATCTTTTATTCTTCATTCAATTTTACGATGGATGAAATAAATAATAAAGTCATTTTATATCCAAAGATATGATATTCATTTAAGAAGCTCAGCATCAAATATTGATTAAAATGAAATAGATTAAGTGTAATAATATAATGAATACTCAATATTTAAAAATAATATTGAAATATAACTAGCAAATATCACAATGAATTATTGACAATGGATTTTGCAGTTTATTCGCTTCTTTTATTACTTTGCGCGGAAACATTCGTCTTCACCTTAAATATATCATTCCGCGCGACGTTCTATGCTCGCTGATTCTCTCGACTCCTCTAAAAGTGTCCTATAAAATCGATTAGCGACCCGATGCAAACGGGAAGTTGCGAATATCTTTCGTTCGGAGATCGTGGGATCGTTTCTCAATGTCGGCGCTGAGAAAACCCGTTTCGCCGATGAGGAATATAAGCGGTGTCGTTACGCGAGAACCAATTGCAGCTGCGACAACCCTTTGAATCGGGGGAGGAAGGTAAGCGATTGAATGCAAAACGTGAGACAAACGGAGAGAAGATTGGTGAAGAGTGCGATAAAAGAGATGCAAAAAAAAAACATACAAGACAGGAAACGGGGATTCGCGTAAAGAGCATGCCGTTATGAAAAACCTTATATAGCGCGAAACACGAATGACGTAACTATAAAAAAGAATAAAATATCCTGTAGTGATACTAAACCATGATACATACCATCTCACGTCGTAAAGAGCACATTGGCCGGCGATATCAGCAGCAAAGTTTAACAGCTACACGTTTTGCCACCTGACTTTTCCGTCGACCTCGTGGCTTCTTCGCGACACAGTTCCGTCGATCTGTCAGCTAAAAAAAATATAAATTTTTTTCGTGCATATATATCGCTGCAGATTTGCATTTCAGAGATATTTTAAAATACCAATGTTATGAAGAATGCAAAAAATGATAGAGATTTGTCGCAATAATATAGTTATGAAATTCGAGTTTTGTGGATTTCAATTACGTATTTAATTTTCGTTGCATTTTTTGTATAATATAAAATCTGAAAAATAATATATATATTTGACACATACTCTCGCGTCATATTTATCATTTCTATTATTATAATCACACAATTGGCTATCGCAAAATGCGATATTCAATAAATCTCGTTAGATATTACAATTCTATTGTTATAAATCTATATAACGCCGTGTAATCCGTCGAATAAAACGATGACGTCCATATAACGCTTTGATTCGACAGGTCACAAAGATAATCGAATATACTCGTAGCCCGTCGATTTCATCGTTTCACGAATACATTTCCGTCGACTATCACTTTGTTTTTTCCATCAAATGGTCAACTATAGAAAACGAATTTCAGCAAAATACATCGAAGATTATTACAGATTAATAACTTGATATTTACTATAACGATGCCGACAAAATTCGTTCGCGGATAATAGGTTTATATGGAATACATAATGCTGCCGCGGAAGTATGCTAATGATTATTTTATGCGAAACGATGGTCCTCTCTGTGCGAAACGATTTCGCCATAAACTGTGGTCAAACTTAATTTTCCGCAGAATTCTGTTCCATATATATTTTCTATATCGTGCAATATTTTAACGTCGACGATAGCTAACGGTTTGCGCGATAATGCGCGATTTTGTACAATGCATTTGTAATGAAATTTATACCGTAATATATTTTAACGTAAAAAATGTGAGAAAATAGAGAACACAGAAATACACATAGGATATATGTATAAAACTTGTTTAATCCTGTATCTGTTTGGTTTATATGTTAACTATGTTAACTATGTTAGAAATAAACAAATGTTAAAATTGATTACTTTCTTAAAATACATATATGTTTTTATATGAAGTTTTACTTTATTACAATCTCTAATTTCGTACTCAGCAATTTTTCCATGGATACAAATATTGTAAAATCACGGAAATGTTATTAATTATTATTTTTAAAATATTTGAATTTAAAAAAGTATTTAATAATATTAAATTTTTATAAATATTGAAATTTTTATAATGTTCACATGTGTATATGATTTTAAACAATCAGCAATATTTATTACATACAAAGAGAAAGGGAAAGAGAGAGAGAGAGAGAGAAAAAAAGCATATTTTTTTAGAGAACATTGAAAAATATCATGCTAAAAATTAAATTAGCGCTATATGCAACTGGAGCGTATGTTCATTTGCATAATGCTAATTATAATATTAGATCCGACTAAAAGTTAGCTTTTTCCGTCGTTTCGATTCCCTCTTGTTTCCTCTATTTTTATAATTTCCGTTGTCCTCGCATTCCCGAAGCGAGTACGGTCAGTTATGCGTGATAACGAAAGCCGGCAATTTCACAATTTGATAAGACTGAATTTATGAACGTACAGTACAATAAATACCTATCTTTTTCGCCTGGCGTAATCCCGCAAAAATCTAGCCGTATGTTTAATCAAAACGCTCTGCATATGCACAATAAAAGGAGGGTGGCGCGTATTTTCCGCGTAATATTCTCTACCTTATGAATTACGATATAATTACACGCCCGAAAGCTATCTCGACTCCGATTAACTTTTGCAATTAGAGAAAACGACGAAAATTCCGGAAAGTTTCTCTGACGGCTAAAGGTCATAGTTTTAAGAATATTCGCGGGTCCGTTGCCTTGATCGCCAAGCGGAAAAATCGCATCAAAGCGATATCAAACCGGCGTGCGCGAAATGCCTTCGTCTTCGAGGACCGACATGGATGATCAGAGTAACGATGGTTGGAAAAGCGTAACGTTCTTAAACTCCACTGACAGAAATCGATATTCGCGTCCGTGGGCTCCGTTCGTCCGATTCCTGACCATAACGGCGGTTGTTAATCCTGCTAGATAATCCGGTTAGCTTAGCTAGTAACGGCAAGAAAAGGAATGCATTGTGAATAGGAATAAAAGTGGAACACTTGCTGCAGCTTGATTTAGTTCAACTCAATTTGGGTTTTTGTTCAAATTTTAATAACTTAATTACTTAATTAATACTAATTGGTTTTTATTAACATTTTAATTACTTAATTACTTAATTACTCAATTAAGTTATTAAAATTTTAATAAAAGACCCAAATTCAATTTGTGACGTGTGGAAAAATTAATATACTTTCTTAAAAAATTAATTCAACATTTTCTTAAATTACTTAATATATATATATTATATAATATTCTTAATTACTCAATATTTCATAATTATGTGTCAAATAATAAATTCATACTTAAAAGCAAAACCTTTTCTTGCGAAACGTTGAATACGACTTACATTCAAACTGTCAAATGATTTCATCAATTTTAACTAAATTCACGTGACAATAAAATAGAATTTCCAGTCTTATTTCTAATGGAAGGAATTCCAATCTGAAATATAATTTTAGAGGAATCTTGCGCAATACATAGTTGTAACGTCCACGGCTTTTCTTTCATCGAACATTGACACAACTATTGCTCCAGTTATGATGCAATATATTTTAATCGACCAGAGATAGTGACCTAAAACACAAACTATAATCCCGATGCAGACGCATCCGTTATAACCGAACTAAACTGCATTAAGGCGGATGCAATGCGCATCCTGCTTAAGATCAAGACGGTTGATGTGGAAGACGGAAGAGATATATAGATAGAAGGACGTGGAGAACACTGTGGGGTGCAACCGTGGAGAAGAGCCGGACGGCATAGCTATTCAAACTATTCGAGTTGCAAGGAATTTCCTGCACCCAGTCATTCCAGTGTACACGGTTCGAGACGACGGTGGAAAGGGAGACAGGGTGCTACACATATACGCGCGTACACAAATCCATCGATGCCATAGTTTCCCGATGTAACCGCAGTCGAACGAGCACCGCTACCCTCCGAATCATCCCTCCCTCCCCCCCCCACTTCGAAACGCATTGTGGCACGTGGAATTTGTCTTCGGCCCAATGAATGGGATTACCTACCCTCGAATCGCCGTCGATTAAGCGATAGGGATCCACGACAGGGGAGGCAGTCGCGTGTGCCTGGATACCAAAGGCACATATGTGCGCGCGGGCGCGCGCGCAGCCGGTAATTGTCGACGGTATGTAGAGAGGGTTGTAAATTTACTGAACGGTGATGCCTCATGAAAAATGGAGCCGTGTTATTTGCGAGGTTTTGTAAATATGGCGCGAAAAGTCATAGAAGTCTCCATGTATTAAAATTAACGATAATTGCGTTGCAAAAGAAAGTTATAAAAGTGGTAAGTACATAAAAAATGATTAATTAACGAAAAATAGAGTATAACAGTATAAGTATAATTTCAAAAATGAAACTTCATTGAAATTATCGAAAATAATATTTCATCTTTTAATCGATCGCATTAAAAACATCAAGTCAGCTGTTCAAACTGTGAAATTTTAATATTTAATTTGGAAAATTAGTTTAACATGGCAGATTATATAAAGTTTAGAAATATGAGTGTATGAAGTAAAAAGAATGAGAATACATGAATGATAATTTATGGAGTCGGCATAATAATGTACATTGTTGAAAACGTCAGCTTGAGAAGGCAATAAATTGTCCCTCGCTTCTCATAGTCGCGAGAAGCCCCTGTAAGCTTCAAGCGTTATCGTGAGAGTTTACAGAAGACATATCTCATTTCCGGAAAATCATAGTGCAGAATTCTGAAATGTAATTTTCGCAATGGAGAAATATCGCATGTGTCAATTATGTCCTCCATATATAAGAATTATGTTTCAGGCTTGCGGTGTTAAAATTTTCAAAATTACGAATATTCGGATGTAAAAATTGCGAAAATTCCATGAACTATCATCCAGTTTAAACTCTTAAAGACAAGAGGATTTTTCAGAGAATTTTTAAAATACTATTTATCACAATCCTAAAAATTTTGAAATCCACGAACCACCTCAATTCCGAAATTGCAGCATTTCCAGATTCCTGAAATTCTCTAGAAATTCTACACCCTCATATTACAAGATTGAATCCTGTAAAGTTTTATTTTATCTTCTCTAAAAAATACGATGTACATAGCAAAAAAGATCTTAGTGTTATTCAATATACTATGTTAACATAACATAGAAAAAATTTATAAATTTTAGTCTCTTGAACATTGATTTTTTTCAATTATCAGTCAATCATTCAATTTGTAGTCCTTTCTGTGATATTGCACCAAACTGCTTTTTAGGGATTTACAACGTTGATTTTATATATTTTTATAAATCGACTTTATATCGTAGCGAGAATACGTCGTCTAATTCCTTCGGCATCGTTTCTTCTCTCGGAGGAAAGCCGTATTATATAGGCAAACTGCGAAGCCTCGTCGATATTGGCGACACGAGCACGAGTCGTAAAAGATTCTCTTGTACCGGGCGCGAGCGAAATCCCCTCGTGATCGGAATAACGAGTTCCCCGGCTCTCTGCACGAGCGATCTGGTGTGCGTGAATGGGACCCGTAGGACGGAAGGGGGCAACTTTTCTCCTGCAGCCACCCTGTGCGAGAGCAAGAAACGTGCTCGCTATCGCGCTGCCGATCGGGAACGTACAGAGTGCGATTTCCGGACGAGGCCATGAATTTTATTATAAAACGCGCGCGAGAGGAAGAAAGACAGAAAGAGACAGAAAGAGAGTCGGAATTACATTTCCGGATGTCGGACGAGCGAAATTCGGCCCGGCAAACGAGGATCCTCGATGGATATCCGGATTTCGCACCGAAGATCCTCTTTTTATTTCGCTTTAATTCGCTCGGAAATATCATGCGCCAAGTGACACGTAAGATTTATAATTGCGCTAATTATTGTAAATAGTAACTGTCACTGATAAAAATAAAAACACTCAATAT